CCCCGCCGCTCCCCGCCGCCCCTGCGCGGGCGCCTTGGCCTTACAATAATCGAAAAAGTAATGGCTAGCAGCGTCATTGCGGCCGTAACGACAATCATTTCATTTCTAGCTCGCTCGCGCGCCGCGCTCATTTGCTTGTGTTGTTCTTTTTATTCATTTTCTGCAAGTAACACGAAGGCGCGTCGCGCTGTGTCGTGATTTTTTTTCCCCACTACTTCTTAATGTAAAGTTGGCATGTTCGCGAAGTTTCCCAACGCCCCTCTGAATGTGTGTGGGTTGTATGCCAAAAATCAGTGTGACGTTATTTGGACAAAAGTTAAGGCCTGGTTGGGTAATGGCATCGCCATGGGGCCCTCCAAAGTAATGCGGCGCGACACGCGAGCGCCAATGACACCCATTTGGTGGCGGACAGAGTGTCAGGCAATTTGAATCGATTTGCCGAACGCGTTGTGTTTTGTGTTCCATTTATGTTTCGTGGTATGGTGTGGTGCTGAAGGGGTGGTCAGTTGGCAGAGTTGGCGTTTTTCGGGGGGCGTGTGCGTGAGGAAAAGTGCGCTAGTCGCCGGTGTGGTATCTTATTTGCCTGTTTATCTGCTTTGTTATACACGAATTGTTTGTGAACGGCAAATTATACTTGACTGATAAAAACGACCTTGCAGATTCGGACGACTTTGCGGTACATTTGCAGTGTGAGGGCTGCGGAAAAGCTGTGAGGTGCTGAAGTGCTAAGCCAAATATGACCTTTAATACTTCCTAAAGACAGAACACATTTGTTTAAAAAAAGTAATACTATTTTTGAATTTTCTGACGACGGTGTTGCTCTGTTTTCCGCCTGGCTACCGGACCTCCCTCACGCGGGCTCGCCTTGCTTGTGTGTGGGGTTTTGCCAAATTAGTCGAGTCTCGGGTCAGTTCAGTTGCGCGCGGCGCGGGAGCGGGCAAGAAATGTAATTTTTCATTTTATGACCTCGGCCATTCTTCTGCCCCCGCACCGCGCTGCGCCCCGCGCGCGCCTCTTTTGAGTGTGGCGGGCGGGACAGCGGCGGCACGTGAGGCGTGGCGGGGCGCGGCGCCGCAATCAGCAATGAGTAATACCACCCTTCTCTCTCGCTTAATTATACGCTCCACCCACCCCCTTTACCCCCCACCCCCCCTGGCCTCTCACAATTCTCGCCTTCACTTACTTAGCCTCATCACGGACGGCTCGCGCGCTTGCCAGCCCCTGCCACTTGTTTTTTGACTCCCGCTACCTCCTCTCCCTCCTCCTTTTTTTTTGTTTTTATTTGTCCCTCATTTTAACGTTATTCGCGCGTACCGTGCGTATCGCTGCCGGGATTTCCTTGGTCTCCCACCCGCTCAACTGTGAAGTGAGTGCAGTGCAAGAAAGTAAAGGGGAGGCCGAGAAAGTTTTTCTTATTTTTTTTCGGTCTACGAGTGAGCTTCTACTGACCTAAGCCCATCGTGGTGGCGTGCGTCCTCTGACTCTCGGTTGTTGAGTTTGGCTGAACAATGGCGATGCAACAACAACAACAACATGTCCAGTACGGAGGGAGGGCCACCGAGGGGAGGGATCATCATACTCCTGCAGGGAGGAGTCGCAAAAGGATTCCGGGGGGATGGTGGTTTGAGGAACGGGCTTGGGGTGCGGCGGGGCGCGGCCCGTGTCATCGCGAGTGTGGCTAAAGAATTTATACCCCGGCGAGAGGGGCTCGTTAGTGGATTCCGGGGACCACCGTCGCGGTGGAAAAGGATTGAGAGCGAGCGGGGAGCGGTATGGCCCGGCGGCCCCACTACCCACTACCCCTAGCCCGCCCCGCCCGACCTCACCCCTCTGCGCCACGCAGCGCCACGCGCTTCGCAGCGGGACGCGGGAGGCCTCAAAGACGGGAGGCCCCACCGCCGTGTTGCGATATGTTTATCTCTGGCTCACATTTATCACTCGCACCATCGCGTGCGATCGGCGCCGCTCCCTGCTGCCCCTCCCCTGGACAGTCCCTGCCCCCACCCCTCCCTTCCCTTCTTAGTCTCGTCTCTCTCTCTCTCTCTCTCTCTCTCTCTCTCTTTTCTTTTCTATCAGAAACTCGGGGTTATTTGTTTCATGAAACAAATTAAAGTAAGGGTGCGTAGTATGCATCTCTCAGAAAATGTTCATAACGAGTCTTTGTGCTTGCTGATTCTGTGATTGCTTGTGAAGAAATGTAGCTAGACGTTTTGTCAGACGCGGGTGGCCAGGCCCAGCAGAGTAAAAGCAAAAGTACAGAATGCACCCTATCCAGCCGGGCCGGGCCGACCTCGGCCGTCTAGTCGGGTCAGGCCGGATGGCGGCGAACTTGACCCAGCCGTCGGTAATAACAGAGGACTGCGCTGACCAAGTGACCAGTCGGCTGCCCCCGCCACTGCCCGAGTCTGCCGCTCCCCTCATCGCACTCTCCCCCCCTTTTCTGCTCCCTCCCCCCTTTTCCC